CCACCCTGTTAATGGTTGAATTCAATTAGCAGGGAAATACAAATAGCCAAGCATTAGCAGCAAAGATGAGCATCTTGTTAAGTTATATACATACTTTCCATAAGGTAGAAAAAAAAAAGATTTCAAATTCCCTTTTAAATGACTAATTGGAAATTCACCTGATAAAGAAAAAGGAATAAGGAGCACCGGAAAGTGTCAGTTGTGAGCTGCTCTGATAATCCCAAGAGATGGACTAGAGAATTGTAAAACCCTGCAGCTCTTTTATAAATTTCGAGCCGCTGAGTATCAAGGGATTCCAGTATATACAAGAAATTCTTGTCTTCTCATCATCTACAGCTTTGTTTGGTTAAGTGAGCTAAGTGAGTTTTTGGTACAATAAGAGGTCATGAAAACCTGCACCGTTTGTGGAAATGAAAGCTAGTTGAATGCAAATTATTATTATTTTTTTTGCTGATGTACATGTTCATTATTATTGTTGAATAAAGAGACTCTTTCTAGTAATATGTTTCATGAAAATTTTAAAAAACAAAAGGCACAGTGGAAATGGCTATAATGCAATACAGCTAACAGTTAACAATCGGATAGCGGCATTTAACACTGCACTGCGGGTATTTGGGTTGTCATTAGCTTTGAGTTTCTGTTTACCGTTGTACACAGCATCAAAATATCAGGTATCATTCTTAAAGTAGAAGTATTGAGAGAGTGAAATATACTCCTCACAATACTTAGAACTGGCACGTGTCACATGTCGGCTCTATAGGTCAAGAGCTGAGCGATCATGTGACCACTGATCGCTCTGCTCACGGTCTTCTCCCTGCAGAGAACAGTGACTATCAGTCGCCGCTTCCCACAGGGATTTCCTCCTCTCCTCTCTGTTCCTCCAGCACTTATTGGAAGGACAGAGAGAGGAGGGGGTGGGCACAGCCGGATTTGGCTCTGGAGAGGTATAGCCTGCTGTCAATCAGGCAGTGCAGTGGATCCCAACAATATTATCGGGTCCTGCCCCAACTGCATCACGGCTCTGCACTGTCAGCATATAGGGGACATTATATATGCTAGGTTTGGGTCACAGGGATACATCAGTAAATGTACTCCTGTGACCCAAAAGAGAACAAAAGCCAAAAAAGGTTTTTTAGTTCTCTTTTAAAGCTGATTTCTGGAATACCATTAACAAATCTCCCAAACTTTCTTCTACCTCTCCTTATATCCCTTGCAATCTGTTTAATTTAATAAAACATTAAATTGCTGAAAGAAACTAATATATGTAAAAGTACTTGTCATCAGTTGGACTGGATTGCCTGGTTTGGCCGAGCTAAGTGGGGGGTTACTCTGTGACGCAGCATATAACTTTCCCTGTCTCTCCCCAAGCCACATAGAATTACACATTCAATCATGCTTTGGCATGCTTGCTACAATTGTGGGTGTTCATTGGGCAGGTCTGTGGCTGAGATCATGGTGGTGATCTTGTCTTGTCTCACAGGATTATATGACGCAAGGCATAGCTTATGAAGAGTGGGCATAGCTTGGTGGTGATGAGCACAGACAGGCAGGAAGTTCCTGCTCGATGGTTGGTACCCAGTGGTTCAATCCGCAAGTATCTACATCCCTACTATGTCCTGTAGTGATTTAGAGGCAAGCAGGAAGAACCCCCATTTGCAGTGAAGGATATAGAATTTGACACACCTTGAAGTGTCAGATTCTGAAATGTCTTCAGGCAGTCATGTCTCTTCATTACAGTAGAGATCAGGAGCATAGTCAGCAGGAAATGTAAGTATTAACTATTTTCTTTGCAGGGGACACTTTTTTGCATTTCTTTACTAGCAACACATTATTGTATAATGAAGTAAGATTAATCCTGTCCCTATTGTCATACCATTTATTAAATTACCAGTACATTTAGTAATGTGGATCATTGCATTTGGTTATGCCATGCTTGTTTTCTTCCATGTTTTATCCTAAGATCTATGGGATATAATAGTATGCCTATTTCCCTTAGTATAAGAAATTGGTAATATATCATTTCAGTTTTGTTTGTGCTCAGTTCAACTTCTCAAACTAAAAAATAAGATATATTCACATGCTCAACCCACTTATATTGTTGTAGATGATGCTTTTGCTTTTTTAGCTAGTACCAACAGTAACAGCTGTGAGGGCATTACCCTCACCCTCATTTTATTATTTGCAGATAAATGAACCAGAGGGTCATCATAAGAGACTTTGGCATACATACTCTTAGTATGGGGAATTTTTAGGTATTTTGCTTTTTAAATATGAGGATACATTATGGGGGTCTTGCTTAACATTTTGCATTGGATTAGTAGTGCCTTAGGTTTGAGGTGGATGTAAAGGGTTGAGAAGACGGTCTCAGGCTTTACTGCTTTCACTTTGGGTACCATAAAGTAAGCACTTGGTTAGAATAATTCTGATTTCATTTATTAAGAAAAGATTTTAAAACAAACTTGGCGCGGTTATTATCTACCGCTATCATACTTTAACGGGGCACCAGTGAATAGGATGAGGAGAGCAGATTAGTAATCTCAGAAAACACAGTGGAAAAACTCTTAAGATTTATAACTCAAGAACTGAAATGCTAGCCTGTGGGAGCTGCTAGGTCAGGTCCTGACCTAGATTCATAGATAGCAAATAAATGCAATTATCTCGTTCATCTGCTCCAAATTATTGTGTCTGAGTCTCTGCACTGTAGCCGTAACAGAACAAAACGCAGCTGAACCACTGGCCTTAATTGCATGGATTAGCAGAGGCTGTGCACAGAATAGAGAGAAGAGGACTTCTGAGTCTTCCCAAGCAATGATTCAAACACTCGCATACAGGGTGGTGGGAGAAATAGGTAAAGCAGCAGAAGAAGGGAGTAGGCAAAAACTATTTAATTCTCCTTTATTATCCCTGGATGAGCTGTCACTCATTATCTGTGTGTTAATAGAGCTCCTTTTGTGTGACACAGATCATTAGTTTTATGACATCATCTTTCTACTTTCTGGCTATAGGTTATTTAAAGTATATCGCCTTACAAATTAATTGAACGGATCCCTAACACAAGAGGGCTTATATTTACAAGTCATTATCTGACCATGATTTTAAATTTTCAGTGATATATTTAATTTCATTATACGTGTAGCTATTAGGTCAAAAGTGCTGATGTTAATAATATCCATGGTATCTCAAATGTCATCTAGCTTTAAAGGAAATTGTTCAGTATATCAAATTTTCCTGCATTTGGCTTTTGTACATGTAGAATGTAAGTCTGTGGGATAAAATTCAAGATAACAATAATAGCAGACCAGCTAGCTTGTGGAATAGTGTAGTCTGCTGCCATGATGGTAATAGGTGTAATAGGATAGTTTCTATATGTAGGTTTTAATGGTTTAAAGTGGACCTATATTCTGATGTTAAATTAAAGGAATTATTACAGGCTAGCAGAGATAGATAAATAAAGAGAAATAGAAGGCCTGAAATACCATTTTTTTTTAAAAAATGCTGCTCAGTCTCCCTCCAGTGCATATTACATGTCCAAAAGGCTAGCCTTGTGGTCATATGATCTCCGCTAAAGGGGTTGTTGAACATGACACGATGCCTTGACTTTAAAAACATGTGGCCACCACTGATAGGAAATATAAGCTGTTCAGCTCTTCTGTTAGTGTTTATCTATCTATCTATCTATCTAACATTGTAAGGCTGATAAGAATGCATTATAACTTTTTGTTTATTGTATTATAGTTTGTATATGTTGTTACATTGGTGTGTTGTAGTTTATTTTTTTTTCTAAATGTTTATTTGACAAATAAATCAATATTACATACAAAGTGCACCCATGGCACATGATTTGGAGAGCAGCTTGTGTTCTAAAGAGAAAGCACAGCATTAGCTGTTAGCTTTCAAACTGTCTTTCTCTAATTGAAACTATACTTAATTATACAGAGCAGGGAGAAAAGGGGGGTGGACGGGGTCTTTCCTCTGATTTATTTAGTTTTATATGTAATGTGAGCTTCAGCTATTGAGGTCCCTAAAGCTCATGGATTTTCAGCATATCAGTTAAAATGACGCTCCACTTTTTCTGTAAAAACAATCCCCACTGGGTGAACTATATACCATGCAAAATTTAGTTTTTCTGACAAAATTACTCTTTGTGTCTCAAGGCTATTTTAGATGGGAGTGTTTTGTTTCATTATAATGACCTAGCTATGGAGCTTTTTTAAATACTTGGCCTAGTCTATTGCCAAAGGAAGTTCAGATAAGTTAAGATAATGTGTACAATTTGTACTCTTTGCCACTGAATACCTACTAAATACCTTCAATGATGTCCTACTCAGGTAGGTACAAACTACTCTGCTCCTGATTATGAAGCAAACTCTTCACAACAGTGCATTTACTGACCTCAGGTGAGTGCGATCAGAAAGCAAGAAAGCAGAGCAGAATGTTGGTACCTAACGGGGGGTTGGGGGTGGTCATGTTGGAGAGTGATGATTTTCAATTGCGATATCTTCTCAACTGGCAAACCTTCTACGTGCTATACAGTTGGAATTGGTATGTCATTTACTATGCAGACTTGTGACAATGCCTAATCATGAACAGTTGACCAACTATAACGATAATAAAATTTAATTATTACCAAGAGCTGGCTCAGTATTAACCTTTTTTCCTGATGTTTTTAGAGATCAATAAATTGACCATAACATTTTAAAAAGGGTATTCTATTTAAAATTTAGAACATACGATACTATTTTGTTTTTGCAACCCTTTTACTTAACTTACCAAGAAATTTTTTGATTTGCTTGTGTTGATGGTTCGCTTGTCTTATTATTTATTTCATCTACTGCCCTTTATAGGTTTTAGCACATAATCATCTCTAATATTTTATTTTATTGTTCTCACAATTGCGCATTAATCTCTGTACATCTATTGTTACTTTTTTCTGCTTTGCTTACATTTTCATTTCGTTTTTCTTTTCTAATTTGATTTTCTTTCCTTTCTTGTCTGTCCAGTTTTTTCCAAAGTAGCCCACTCTACAGTGCCACCTGCTCGTGTTTCGAGTCACAAAAGAGGTAGGAATCCCTCCATTCATACAGTGGCTCTGGTTTGTGTTGCGTACAGATTAAACAGATTTTATTCCACCCTATAAAATGCACAATTTTGAGGAGAATTTGTAACTTCTGTTTTGGGGGGTTCAAAAGTTTAAAAATTATCAAAGGACATTTGCACCAGCAAACAGAAACATCTTGTTGTATGGCTGCAGGAGAGCCACAGATTGCCCAAGTCAGTGTATAGTACACTTACAGCACAGAGGAAAAACAACGCTGAAACACATGGCTACTATATTCCAGTATAACATTTTAGATTGCTGTTAATTTTGAGTTATCTCTAGCAAATTCAATCAATCACCAGTTTCCTTTTTGCTTAAGGGATCTGAAAAAAATATATTTACGCCCCAGCCATTATTAAGCCAAGCACAGTTGCCTGCTTTCTCCATAATGTAAAATGGCGTAGTAAAATATAGAGAAAGTCTGACGTCCTATCATGGCCCCAGCAGGGAGAGTGGAAAAAGGAGTTGTGTTCTCCCCAACAGAAGAAAAAAGAAGTCAGTGAAAGTACAACTGTGCCTTCTTAAAACAAAGTTCTAGTTTAATACTGTATATTTTGTTGATGTTTTTTGTTTTGTTTCTGGTGGTACATCTTACCATGACCTTGTGTGTTTAAGATGCCAGTGAGTGATTCAACCCAACATCAGAGCTGAAATATCATTTTTTGATGAGCTAAACCATTAAGTAGGATAATGAGGATATGTCATCCATATAAAAATTTTTACAAATGGTAATATCTGCACCATGGGGAGCTCCCATGCTTAGTATGACAGACAAATACAATTAAAATAATATAACAAATATGCCAACTGCTGATTCAGCTATAGCTCTGTTATTTGCAATTTGAGTATCTTACTAGATGATAACATACACAGTATATAGTAACATGGATGGATAGTATGGATAGGGTTCACATTGTATTTTATACTGGATCACACAAGTATGTATTCTACCTATCATTTCTTTGGAATTAATTTTTGAAGTATGATCAGAATAGATAGTTGGGTTTTATTTAATAAAAGCACAGGCATCAACATTGGCCACATCATGCACATTGTAGATTTTTTTAGTTATTCTAATAATGATACAAGCTGATACATGTTGGCTGCTATAAGTATTTCATTGCTTTTTTCTGCTATACACAGGATTTGCTTTTAGTGTACATTTTCCCTTTGCCGCTACAGTTTGCAAAGCAGAGCTTGTATGTTAGTGTTATAAACCACCAACATGATTTCACATCCCTGTAGAGCAGGCAAGCAAGGAGAAACAATGTATCTAGGGTCCTTATGCACCATCCCTTTCATAAAGCATACATTGATATGACAAGCATGTTAATCTAGCACTAAAAAACTATTTTTTCTACCAGACGGAAAAATTCAATTGAATTATTATTTCATTATCAAACACGGAAATGTAACAAAAACAATCCTCTGATTTAAACCCTTGCATGTATAAATTGTAACCCTTTTAACTGCTCTCTGGGATGATACTAATATATTACTTATTTCTTAGTAATTTTGTATTAACATAGACAGACTAATAGGCTTATTTAGTAGGTAAAAATCTAAATTTATTTGAAAGGTGCAGTAATCTATAATAACCAAATAAAATCAGATTTCATCCTTTACTAATTTATCTGCCATAAATAGGAATGCGAATGGTTGCTGTGGATGACTTCACCTTGTATGTCATCTATTTCCTTTGCACTCCAGTATGAAATGAGCCTGTAAATATGTTATCAGCAACAGGAGAACAAAAACAAGAGTTTGACTAACAGTATGGAAGGGACCCCCTCTGTGTTAGTTTACATATATATACAAGAATCGCAGACCCATCTGTTGTAAAGGAAGACCCCCTTGAGTACTAAAGTGAACTTGTCAACTTAGAAAATTAAAAGACCTTAATACAGACCACAGGAGTCCTGGTATACGTTAACAACTGGAACATTCTTGTTTGTGGTCACCTCTGATTTATTTTTACTTTGTTACTGCTGCTTGATTGTCCCTGAATTCAGCTGCCGATCAGTGCCCTTAGGGGCCACTAAGGCAGTATTACTGGACAAGGGGCTGGTAAGTAGTGAAGCCGAGCCAGGAAGTCAGCAAAGGTCAGGCCCCAAAAGCAAAATGAAACCAGGTCACAGAAAAAGCTTTTCAAGTCAATAAAATAACAGCAAGCGTCTTGTTGTATTTCTTTGGCACGTCTTTGAAAATTAAATTTTGAGTACAGGTGCACATAAAGCTAGTTATGGGTAAGCTGTCTGTTAGGTAGTGTTTGCTATTTTCTGTCATTAGGGTGCATAGGTAACATGCAAGCTTTAAAGATTAGGGATTTATGCCCCCTAAATTAATTTTTAAGGTATGCCTTTTAAAATAATGACAAAAACAGCATTTTGCTCTAATGCTGGCATACACCATAAATAATCTATCAATCAGTGATTCAGTTGTTAAAAATTTGTTCCTGAAAAGCGGTGGCCTGAACCAGCAAGAAGTGGTTGGTTTAGTCAAATTTGATTGAATTTTTTTACACCAGGATTAATCATTCTTTTTTAAAGAGAATAATCATTGATCAAATCACCCCTCTACGGCAATCAGTTTGCAAAAGATATAATACACTCATGGAAGCAATCTTTATATTAAACAATCATATTGTACGTTTGCATAGCCAAAACTTTTTTCTCAGTTTAGGGTAGAGGAAAGAGTTAAATTGCATTTTGTTACTATGTTTTCCCAATCACCCAAATAAAAATACATGTGTCCAATTGTGCTATCTAATTTAAACCCTATCTGTTCCCAGAATTTTTTTAAAGTTGACTACAATTCTAAAATATTTAATGTATGGAACCGATGCATTTGGGAAGCAAAAATAGAATACTTAGGGACTCAATGCAATTTAGGTTAAAAAAAGGTCTGTAGAGTCAAGTGGTTAAGAGGAAATATCTACAAAGTGAGAGAGCTCCCCTCTAAGACAGTTGTCACTAGAACATATGTCACCATTGAAAGATTTCCTCTCACCTCCTGCACTGGTGACAACTGTTTAATTGTGGTTTCCAATCACTTTCTGCCCCAGTAACAAAGGGGCAAACAGAAGGGATGAAGCAACCAATCAACCAACCTTGATAAGGGGTTCAAACCATTTCCTACCTTACCCAAACCTAAAAAAAACATTATGTATGGCCAGCATAAATCTATACTATTAAAACCTATTCCAAGTGACTGGCACTTTTAAAAATATTATGTGTGACTAATGGAAACAGCCTGACACACAGCTAGGCAGTGGAGGAATGTGATTACCAGCCAGTGTTGCTGTGAGCTAGTGGTCTTCTATTCCTCTCTTTTCCTCAAGATTTATTTATAATTTTATGATACAAAGACAAAGACAGTAGAATCTTTGTTACACTCCATAAATTCTTTATCTTAGAAGAGTACAGTTTGTGTTCCTAGTCGGTGATTTAAAATCTGACATATCTGTATCGCTGTATGAATTTGTTTTCTATGTGAATATCCATTGTCATAGGTCACTAGTATAACTACTCATACTCTGTGTTGGTAAATGAGAATCTTTAAATGGTATTTCATTGATTAAGAACACATTTCAAGGCATTTAGACATGGGATACAGAAGATATAGTAACACACAGATACTTTCCTAGTGAGTATTTGCTAGTAGTGATTAGATCAGAAGCTCTTTTACGGTTTGCCTTGTTCTTGCAAAAGAAAAATACATACTACAATCCAGGCTCATTCAACGTCGTTATTCATAGTGATTTGTACTTAAGTGAAATACTTACTGATGATAAACAGCCATGCTTACCTGTCTAGCTACACTAGTGACCATGAAGTGAGTTCTGTGTGTCTGACAAGCGTGAAGCTACGTACAATAACTGTTTCATGCACATGTCTTCCATAATGTAATTTTTTTTCCACCTGTTTTACCATTAAAACTTCTGTTAATATGTTGAAAGTGTAGGGAAGGTGCTGTTTTGAGAACACTTTTGTCCCATGATATATGAATTATATTAACATGGGGCATTTATCATAAGTCTTAATAGTAGTGTTCCCTTAAATATACAATTTACAAAGTACTTTTAAAGCTAAACTCCAGGCAGATATAAAAGACACCGTCTACGGTCTGCTGCTTCTCCTTTCATCCAGTCACTTGGTGGGAGTGGAGAAGAGACCTGTCAGTGTTACTGACCTGCAGTAGAGAAATATCAAGTCCCCTCCCCTGCCAGATGGGGATTTGGTTTGTGCCAGAACTGTGAAAGTCTAAGGGCTGGATGGACAACTTAATAAGGCCTTTGGCATGTAAAACAGCTCCATTATATGTATTTCATATGTGTATCTAGATTTTTTTGGGTGGGTTTAGCTTTAAAGTTTTTATGTGGATTATGTTTCACTGCCTTTTTATGAGGCTTTGTGGTGAATACATAGTGCAGACACACAGCTATATTGGTACATGTGGATTTGTGGTCACTTAACTTGTGAGAACTTCCCTGCTGTCTCACAAGAATAGCTAGTACTACAGAAACCATATTTCAACCAGATTTTGAGTAAACTACACTTAGGGGTAATATTAAACAAATTAAGTGTAGCACTTACTTCAGCAACCTATTAATCATTCCATAACCATATATGTTCCCACTTGGATGCTCCACATATCACATTTGACCTCATCTTTATAGATATGGTCCATCTGAAAAGATGAGCAGCATTTTAGTTGAGGAAAAAGTGTTACAAAGTGGATATATTTCCATTGAAGTAACTGCACGTATTGCACTGGAAACATTGCAATGTGTTTTTAAAGACTTATTGGGGGTGATTTACTAACCTAAACACACGCACGTACTAGGTGCGTGTGCATTTTTACACAGCAAAACGTATTTATCAACCAAACACGAGCAACGTGTCACATTTTCACGCCGTTATGGCGCGTTTTTATGTATTTACGTACGTACGCGTCATGTAG